GCGGAGGTGACGAGCATGGGGGACGGCCGGGGCAAAGGCCCGGAGTCTGGAGCAGCCAGGAGGACGTGTTGGGGAGTAAGGGATGAGAAGACTGGAAGGAGTGCGGGGAAGTTGTGAAGGGCTTCGGACGCCGGGCAGTTTTATGTTTGGTCCTTTATTAGCACGGGGCGCCGCAGTGCACGGGGCAGGGTGGGGGGCCTGGAGGCAGGAAGGGCCACCTCCTTGTGGGGCTGCAGACGTTGTCTGGGTGGCCCTGGGTAAACCTTTCACCTTTGTCTGCCTCAGTTGGAACATGGGGCCAATAATGAGAGCCCTTACCTGCCAGGGTTCTTGTGAGGTTAAATGATATTTATAAAGTGCCTGGCACATACTAGGCACTTAATGAATCCCTACTCTTCTCTCCCTCCCTCCCTCCTCCTGGCTTTCATTCTGCAGAAGACAAGAAGGAAGTCAAAACAGAAAAGAGCAAGAGAGGCTCAGGGCTCAAGGGGTGGCCTTCGTACCTGTGACCCGTCTCACTGCTGTGGAACGCTGGACAGTCAGTGTTACACATGCAGTAAGTGCCCGCCGTGTGTCAAGCACTGTGGGGAGAGCAGGGGCGAGCACCAGTGCTTGCCCTCAGGGAGCTCCCCATCTATCGGGGAGGATGGCACAAGAAAAGATGGAAGGGGTTGGGGCTGGGGGGGTCTATGCGCGGGACCCTGATGCGGTGCGGAGGAGAGCCGGCCAGTGAGAGATGAAGAGCCCTGACCCAGCGCCCTCCGTAGATGGCCCGTCTGGGAGCATCCACCCTCCCTCGTGGTCATATCCTGCTTTTCCCTGAGGAGTTCGGAGGCTGTGCCCAGCTTTAAGGGAAGGTCGCACCCCATCTGTCCATCCGATTCTCCTGCCGATGGAGAGCCTGAAAAGACGTGGGAAGGGAGAGAGGTTTTAAAAAAAATCCAATCGAGCATCTTTTCAAATGCCCGGAAGAAAACCAAAAGGCAGCAGGATGCAGACAGTCCTGGTACAGTCACACTGGCTTTAAGAAGTAGTGATCAGAAGTTTAGCTTGAACCTGAAAGCCCTGTCCCACAGACTGTTTTGGGGCAGCTAGGTGATGCAGTGGATAGAGTGCTGGGTCTGGAGTCAGGAAGCCTCTTCTTCCTGAGTTCAAATCTGGCCTCCGACACTTAGCTGGGTGACCCTGGCAAGGCATGTCACTCTGCCTCAGTTTCCTCATCTGTGAAATGAACTGGAGAAGGAAATGGCAAAGCACTCCAGTATCTTTGCCAAGAAAACCCAAATAGGGCAAAGGTAGAGGCTGCAGGGAAGTCAACAACTCTGAAAGGGCTTTTGAAAAGCTTCTGAAGCTAACCCAAAAGCCAGTGGCTAGCACGTACGTAATGTCTGGCCAGGTAGGCTCCGTGCTCTCTCTGAGGTATCTTCGACTTCATCAGCCCTCTCCCTGACATGGAAGGATGCCTCTCAGGTGGTCTGCCCCTGCACTCACAGCTCCAGGCTCAGCTCCTTTCTAAGAGGCATTCAGATGCTTCAGAACCTTGGGGGGAGGGGGTGGGGGAGAATAGGACTCACTAGAGATGGAGAAGTACTTAGGGGTTATTTGAAGGCCCTTGCTGTGCTCTCTGCGTTGTGTTTATGGGCTTGAGTTTTATGTGCAGTGAAATAAAGGCTGTCCTGTGCCCAACATGTACTTGTTACTTTGTGTGCTTGTTCAGGAGCTGGGAATGCTGCTGCCCCCATTGGTGAAAACCAGGACGCAAGAGTCTGCTCCTAATCAAAGAAAGGCCATATCCTTCCTATGGATCAAGGAAGAGTTCATGACCAGATGAGAGAGAGGGGATCAGAAAATGAATTGGACTGTGGTTATTACAAAGATATTTAAGAGGTTTTGCACAAGCTGATGTAATTAATACAGTTAAAATGGGAATTATGTGGGGGGAAATCTTTAGAGCAAATTTCTATGCTAAGGGTCTCTTACCCAAAATATAAGGAACTGATTCAGAGTTCTAAGTTTAAGAGCTTTTTCCCAGGAAATGAAATGGTCAATGGATATAAATAGGCAGTGCTCAAAGTAAGATAGCCAAGCTATTAACAGATGCAAGAAAAAACCTCTAAATTGCAAATAAGGCAAATTAAGCATCTCTGAGGTTCCCCCTTACATCCCTCAGGTAGGCAACTTTGACAAATATTGCAGGGACTGGGGGGAAACAGGCATGTATGCGCACTGTTGGTGAACTCCTGAACCATTCTAGCCAGTTTGGAGAGCAATTTGAAGCATGTCCTCAAAGTCGATGAACTGTGCATACTCCTTGACCCAACTATACCTCTCCTAGGCCTATACCCCAGAGATCAAAGATCTTTTTGGGTATACTTTCTCTCTTTCCTCTCTCTCTCTCTCTCTCTCTCTCTCTTCTCTCTCTCTCTCTCTCTTCTCTCTCCTTCTCTCTCTCTCTCTCCTCATTTTGTGGTGGCAAAGAACTGGAAACTAAGGGGATGTCCATCAATTGATGGATGGCTGAATAAGTTATAGGGTATGAATTGTAATGACATTATTATGATATAAGAAATGCTGAATAGTTTTGTGGAAACCCAAGATGACTTAACTGAACTGATGCAGAGAAAAATTAGGAGGACCAGAATCATTTTACTGTGACAACAGTATTATCAAGACAAACTCTGAAAGACTGGAAAAGAGCATTCAGTACAACGCTTTTAACACAGTAGGTACTTAAATCCATAGGTTTTTTAACGGAATTGAATAATACAATGACTACCATGATTCCAAGAGGACCCAGGAGGAAGTCAGCTAGCTACCCACTTCCTGCCAGAGAGGATACCTAAGGAGCAGGAGATGTGATTTTAGAAATGGCTAGTGGACGTTTATTTTGCTTAATTATGTATACCTGTTACTTCTCAATTTAGGGGAGGGCTGAATGTGGGAAGACAAAGGGAGCTTAGCAATAGGAAGGAAGGAAGTAGGGAAGGAAGGCAGTGTGATGATAATTTTTCGATTTCCTTTAATAATTGCTGTTCTTTGGCTGAGATGAGGGCCATTTTTCCTAGTTTGGAGGTTACTGAGTTGGCTGAATCCTGCCCCATGGGCTATAAAACATTATTCTGGTAAGAAGCCAAAAAGGGAGTCGAGGCTTCCCCAAGTAGTGACTTATCTGAGAAAGATTCTCCTGCCTCAGGCTCTGCAGACCTGTGAATTCCCCCTCTTACTATGAAACCTGTAAATGTAGTTTTATCTGTAATCTGATTTAATTTACCTAGAGAATCTGGTGAACTAGCTTTGTTTCCTTAGGAGGTGTATGAGATTTTGATTCTGTTCAATTAAGTTTTTTCAACTTTTATGTCACTAAAGGAAGCATGAGATTAAGAATTTCTCTTTTCTTTAACTTTTATAACCTAAAAGAATGTGCGAGATTGCAATATGTGGATGAATTATTTCGCTGTCAGAGGTAATTTTGTCTTTAAAAACCTCTTTAGAATCCTTTAGAATTTGTTCGTTTTTTAAAATGTTGACTCTGTGCTTAAGTGTGATAAAACCTGGGTTAAAACTTAAAATTGGGCCTTGTTTTGGTCTCCCCGACTGCGCCCTCCCCTTGTAAGTCAGTCAGTCAGCTTTGGCAGGAAATAAGATTTCAGAAGGCAACCTGCCCATCCAGCACTAACTGTCTGGAAGATCGAAGGAGGGTCATTTACACATTGCATCAGACCTAATCAAGTTCGATCCTGGTAACATAAGCGGCATCACAAGGTCCTTCTAGGCATTGCTTGTCAAGGCTTAGGTCCTATGACAGGTAAATCCCAGACCCAAGCCAGACCTCCACAACCCCAGAGCAGCAGAACATCCCAACGTGCCGATAACTGTAACTGGCCAAGTTGAAGTTTGCCGATAACCTTGAGATGACAGGGACAGGCTGATAAGCCGGCCCCAAGGTGGCACAGAGAGGGCTTGGTCTGTTTCTGGAAAAACCTCAGCCCTACAAAAATGAGAGCTGACTCTCCTGGCCCTGCCCCCAGGCCTCCTACATCTCCATAGGGTCCGTGCTGCCTAGCGCTCCCAACACTAGTGCTAGTCCGTGGTTACCTGAGATTCTCTGCCTCCCTCCTCCCCATCCTCTGCCCCATGAGACCTCCCTCCTCGGCCCTCCCTTCCCTGTCTGCCTCAACATCCTTCCCCACTCCTCCTCCTCACCTTTGTCTCTGTGCCGCCGGTCCTGGTCTTTCCCCCGCAGTACTCAAAGAACCCGGCATGCCTGCCCTAGTTCGTAATTTCTGCATTGTGGTAGATTCATTTTGGCAGAAATAGTCTGCCATGGGCACCTAAAGAAAAGCCACTTCTCCCGTAACAGTGAGAAGAAGGGTTATTGAAGCTTGTTTTTAAATGCATAGAAGAGAACGGAATGTTGGATTTATTATACACTTTAAAGGAAAAGAGGCTGTATGTAACAGATTAGCAGTTTCATAACTTTTTTTTTGCATTGTTCTGCTTTTTGTATATTGGACAGCTAAGTGGGCAGTGGATAGAGCAGCCAGACCTGGAGTCAGGAAGACCTGAGTTCAAATTCTGCCCCAGATACTTTATCTGAATGACCCAGGACAAGTCACTTCACCCTGTTTGCCTCAGTTTCCTCATCTGTAAAGCGCTCCTGTATCCTTGCTAAGAAAACTCCAAATGGGGCCACGGAGAGTCAGACGCGACTTAACAACAGTAACAAGTTGGTAGATTGGAATAATGATTTCATTTACTTTTGCTAAATTAAGAATGAAATAAAAGAAACTAAGATGCAAAAGCGTTTCATTAATGAACCAGTTTAGTCCACCTTCCCTCACCCAAGTCAAACCTGGTCTCAGCTGGGGCCCGACCCTCCCCTTAGGCATTTGTGCGGCTACTGCCCAGCTAGGAGGGGGGAAGAGAAGGAGGAGGGACAGGAGTGAGAAGGGAACGCACATATGGGAGGGGCCCAGCTCTGTGCGCATGGTGGGGGCGGGAGGGGTTGGGCCCAGAAAAGAGCGCAAGACATGCGCGCACACGTGGCGCCGGCCTGCAGACTACATTTCCCAGAAGGGTGTGCGAAGGAGTCTCTTTTCCCCAGCAGGGCGGGGTTCCGGCGCGGAATCACGTGTGCATCACTTCCCTTCCCTTCCCTCTGGAGCCGCCTCCTGTGCCGAGGCCTGTGCCAGACGTGAGTGGGGAGGCTGGAGCCTGGCAGGGGCCGGGAGGGGCCCCGACCCTGATTTGGGATCCTAGAGAGAGGAAGAAGGGCCAGGATGAGGCGTGGTGTGGGCGGGGACTGAACGTCAGAGGGGGTACGCCCATTGGTTAGGGCCGGGGTGGGACGTGGCCACGGATCCAATCAGCGGCACAGCTTAGGCCATGCCCTCATCCTCTGCTTAAGGGCGGTACGCCCCGCCAGGCCGCCCCACCCCCTCGTTGACCCCCGCCCCTCGTGCCCGTGGCCCCGCCCCCTCGGTGGGTCTGGCCATCACATGCTGGGGCTGCTTCCAGTGCCCCTCCCGCCCCCCAAGACAAGCCGCCTCCCCAAGCCCCGCCCCAGTCCCCGCCTCCTTTTTGAGCTGGGGGGGGGGCCAGACCTGGTATTTTTCTGGAGCAGGGAATCCCAGTGAGGGAGTTCCCTCCTCCGAGGCAGATGGCCCCGCTCCGAGCTCCCCCCACTCCAGCCTCCAAGCTGCTCGGGGCCCCTGGGCTCCGCCAGCCTGGGTCCGAGGCAGGGCTTGAACCCGCGGTTTCCTAGACAGCCTCTCCCGGTGTGTGGAGGTCCCCGCTCTGCCTGGGCTGCCAGGCCCTCCCAGTGTGTTTGTTGATTGACAGATTGAGAGTAGGCTGGTCTTTTGTGTCTCCCAGGCCTGCTGCAGAATGAAGGAATGAAGGAAGGAAGCAAGGAATGCGCAGCCTGCAGTCTCCGTCAGGCCCAAGCTGCCCACCCTGGCCCTCTCCTGGCAGCCTGGAGGAAGACAAGGAGGAGGAAGGAATGGTCCCCGGGCCACTCCAGGTGAGAAGCCCCCCTGGGGCCTCAGAGGAGGAGGCTGAGGCTGGGAGCATTTGAACTCAGGTCCCCCGGGGGGATGCCCCCTCTCTTCTCCAGCCCAGGCTCAGTACTGAGCTGGCTGTGCAGGGAGGTATGCCAAGAAGCCCCCGAGGCCAGAGCTGCTGGTCCAGGGCTGGCTCCATCAGACAGAAGTGCCAGGAGCTGCTCCTGGCATGGGTGGGTCGGCATGGGTGGGTCAGCACTGGTGCGTTAGGGTGGGGATCCCCACCTGCACGCTGACATTTCCCTTCTTGCCTCAGCCTTGGCTCTGTGCCCTCTCCCATCCTTGGGGTTCCTGGCCCTGGCACTCGGGGGCCCTTGAACCCCAAGAGAAGCGAGACCCAAGGAGGCGGCCATTGGGAGGATCCAGTTCGGGCGCTGAGCACCAAGTGCCACGTTTGTGGCTGATTTGGGAACCTTCCAATGGTCTTGGCCTGGGGCAGGGAGCTCTGGACTGCTGCCTGGCTCCACTGATGAGCTCTGAGCACCGAGAATTGCCAGTAGGGGGTTCCTTAGAGATTTTCCCTGCCTAGATTCCCCTCATACCCTTCTCCTTCCCAGAGAGCCGTCCCTCAAAGAATGTTTGCAAGGAGGGAGAATCTGGAATGTTATATTCTTAGCAAGCATGAGGGTGGGCAGCTGGAGGCTGTGGGATGGAGAGACACCTTCGCACCCAGGGCTCGAGGGAGAAGGCTGAGCCAAAGGACAGAAGGTGACTTGATGCAGGTGATTTCAGTGCAGTGAAGTGGGAAAGCTTTGGGCTGCCGAGACACCATGCCCTGCCAGAGGAAAGCTCTGGCCAAGGCTGCATGTGCCTCTTACGTGGCTGCAGAGGGTCTTCTTGTGCTGGTCTATGAGGGTTTTATGTTGAATTTTTCAATGGAGAAGGGGCAATGGGAGCTAAACATCATTAATACTCATTAAAGCAGTTTTAAAAGAAAGAACAACAATTTTTGGATGAACACAATCAGTTCAGTGAGGAAAAGAAAGGAGGCCTTCAACTGGGAAAAAGATTTGTATCAAACCTCTCTGGTAGGGACGTCGTCTGGGACATTTATATGTTAACACAAATGTCAAAGCCCAGAGAGTGAGAGAGCTTTGACAGATGTCTCCAAAGACAGAAATGGTTTATGGGAATAATAGTGGCAAACCCTTAGCAGTCCCGTGAAAGACTGAACCACTTCCCTCCTGGAAGAGAAGAGAAGCAAACCCAGACACTCTCAAGTTTCACTTTGTGGGCCAATTAGAAAAGGTGGGAATGGCCCGTGCTGGAAGGGCTGTGGAAAGACGGATCCCTGAAGGCACTAGGGAGCCACAGAACGTTGTTATGCAGGGAAGGGACGTGATTCTGGAGACTGAATGGAAGATGGACTGGAGCGGGGAGAGACTGAAGCAGGCAGAGCTTCCCCACCCCCACAGCATCCGCTGCCATAGCCCATGTGTGAGAGGATGAGGGTCCGTGCCAGGGTGGGGGCAGGGCCAGAGGAGAGAAGGGGGCATGTCGGAGAGGGGTTGGGAGGATAGCAACACCTTGGCAACAGCTTGCATGTGGGGGGTGTGAGTATGAGGAGACAGGGATGAGCCTGGGGGCCTGGGAAGAGGAGGGTGTCCTCAGTGGTGATAGGCAGTTTGGAGGAGGGGAGAGTTTGGGGAAAATAGTGATGATGACAATGATGGTGATAGCAGCTAAAATTTCCATGGCGCTCCCCACCTGCTGGGTGCTGTGCCAAGCTCATAACAGCCCTGGGGGAGGAGTGCTGGTACCCCCATCTTACAGATGAGGAAACTGAAGCAAACAGGGGGAATCACTTTGCCCAAGGTCACACAGATAGTAAATGGACTCAACTTCCCGACTCCAGCATGGTGCTGTTCCCACTGCACCATCAGCTGCCTCCCAGAGGAGGAGGGCATGGATTCCAGATGTCCAGGGGACATCTACCCCAGGCTGTCCAGTGGGCAGTTAGAGACGTGGGCTGGAGGTGAGGACGGAGCTTAGGGCTGGACAGATGGACCTGAGAATCTTCAGTGTAGGATCGAGAGCTGGTGAGAGGGAAGGGACAGGGCTTTAGGGGACGCTGAGAGTTAGCGGGCGTGACCTGAGTGAAGATCGCGCAGAGATGAGAAGGGGCCATTCGGTTGGTTACCCAGTGAATATTGAGCCTCGTGTATTAGAACCCCGTGACCCACCCCCACTGCGTCTTCCCCCCTCCCTCCTCAGGGCAGGGCCCTGGGTGAGTACTTGGATCTGCTGTTTCAGGGCTCCATGACCTTCCAGGATGTGGCTGTGGACTTCACCCCAGAGGGAGTGGCGGCAACTCGCCCCTTCTCAGAAGGAGCTGTACCGGGAGGTGATGCTGGAGAACTACAGGAACCTGGTGTGCCTGGGTGAGGACCCCAGGATCTGCCCCAGGGAGAATCCTCTTCCTTCCTTGTTAAATGCTGGTGACTGGAGCTCCCCTACAGAAGGGCTTGGCCTGTACTCCTGGAGCCTGACAGCCGATCCCCTTGCCTGTGAGATTGTCTCTTCTTCCCCTGCAGTCCCAGGACTGACTCCCAGAGCCTCGGGGAGCCCACCCCCACAGGCTGTTGGCTCAACATGGGCCTCCTCTGGGATGGGTTCTCCCAGTGCCCCTAGAACCATAAGAGAGACCTTTGCACCCCTCAGGCTCTCCCTTCCAGCAGGGTCAGAACTGAATTCTGAGCTAGATCTCTGTCCTCTCTATCCCATTTCCAATGAGCAGGACTGGCCCTGTCTACACAAGGTGTGATTGAGCATCTGGAGAGAGGGGACATGCCTTGGATGCTGGAGAGAGACGTCCCAGGAACCCATGGCCCAGGTGAGGAGGCGGGCCAGGCCAGACTGGGCCAGGAGAGGCACCATCCCAACAAGGGGTGGGCAACTCTCAGCCTGTGGGGCAGGGCCGGATCCCCACCCTTCTAGGGCCTCCCATCCTCCTTGGAGACCTGCTGAGGGGTGAGTTGTCCCTCCATCTCCTGGATGTCTCTTTATCTTACACATTTGTGTTGATTCAGTATAGGGTTTGAACTCAGATTCCTGCAGACTCAGTAACGGCAGCCCACCCCAATCTGTTTTTCCTCTTCGTTCTGGATACAGTTGCTTTCACTATACAAAATGGTGATTTTCCTCAGCTAGCTTCAAGAACTGAGCCTCATGGTCCAGATGCAGCCTGACCAGCACAGACGAGAGCCAGATTCTCACCTCCCTCTTCTGTGCTCAGCCTCTCCTGATGTTTGCAGCCCAAGACTGGCAGTCAGTCCACTGGAACCCCCAGATCTCTTTCAGACCAGCCATGGGCTAACAACACCCCTCCCTCTCCCACATGGCACTTGTGAAGTCAACATTTAGACCCATATCAGAATTGACATTTGTCCATATTACGTTTCACAGCGCCCGGCGCCCAACTCACCCCAATGCTCCAGCATGTCAAGAGCTTTCTGGATCCTGGCTGTGTTGTCCAGTGGGTAGGTTAGCTCTTCTTCTTCTTCTTCTTCTTCTTCTTCTTCTTCTTCTCTTCTTCTTCTTCTTCTTCTTTTTTGGCTAAGCAGTGGGCTTAAGTGACTTGCCCAGGGTCACACAGCTAGGAGCGTTATGTGTCTGAGGCCGGATTTGAACTCAGGTCCTCCTGAATCCAGGGCTGGTGCTCTATCCACTGTGTCACCTAGCTGCCCCTTAGCTCTTCTTCCCAATTCTGTGTCGTCTGCAGACTTGATGAGCCAGCCGCCCAAGCCTCTATCCAAGCCATTAATTAAAATGTTATGTAGCGCAGGGCCCTATTTCCTGGGGCCCTCCCCTGGAGACCTCCTGCCCCACATGGATTAAAACCATGACTGGCTGCTCTTCTGGGGGTCTGGCCAACTAGCCGGCTCTGAGTTCAAGTCATTGCCCTGCTGTCCAGGAGAGACTTGTCTGAGAACTTTGCCAAAATCTGGATGAACCCTGTGAACAGCACTGCACTCGTTGGCCAGTTAATTAGGTCAGTCTGGTCTGAGCTGTTCTGGACGAGGCCAGACTGGGTCTCAGGAATGCCTTCTTCCTTTTCCATATGTCCAGTTCCTATCTCTTTAAAAATATGTTCTGGAGTTTCATGAGGACCCAGAGTTAATCCTGTTGGCCTAGGCTTTCCAGATTCTGTTCTTTTTCCTTTGCTGACCATTGGACCACAGGGACCCCTGTTAGGCTGCAGGGCCACTCCCATTCTTCGTCGGAGACCCTCCAGGTGTCAGCCCTGGGCCAGGGTACCATTGCTCTCTGTCTCTTTCTTCATCCTGGGCATCTCTTCCTGGCCGGCCAGCCATTGTTGTTCCGTCATCTCCACGGCAAAGGTTCTTCTCCTGGGCCGGGAAAACAGAACAAAAAAGCATGGAGGAGCCCCGCCTTCCTCTGCTGCCAGTTTTCACCACCCTGACCCCTCTCGCAGTAGAGCTGTCCTCATCCCGCCTCGTCCTTGGCTCCCCTCGATGGCTTCAGCTCACCTCCTGCTCTGGCACGGTCGCTCTCTTCTGTCTTCTGAGGGACGTTTGGGAGTCCTCTACACTTGCATTGGTCACCCCAAACAGCTCCCGATCTTTCTCATCAGGATTGTTTCCCTTCTGGAAATAGTCATGACATCTAATGTTTATGTGGCACTTTGGGGTTCGCCAAGAACTTCTTGTCTCACTTGGTTACTCTACACAATGTATTCCAGGGGCTCCCTCTCACCTGAAGGATCAAATAGAAAAATCCTCTGGCAGTCGATGCTCTTTATAACCTGCTACTGCGCGCCATCATTCCTCAAGTTTCCCAGGTGCTCATCCTCAGTGTAACTCCTTATTCTCACTCAGCTCAGACATCCAGATGTCCCATACATTGGTAGGAATCCTTTGGGGAAGTTTTAGATGCCCTGTGGCAAAGGGACCCAGAGAGAATGTCTCTCTGAACCTCTGGTGGGATTGCCTTGTGTACATAAGGGACCCCTGGAAACGTTGTGTCTGAACCTCTAGTGGGGTGGCCTTTTGTGTTGAAGGGAATCGCTGAGGAATTTTAACCCCTGACAACTTTATTCCTCACTGGAGGGTGATGGAGTGGCTTCCTGTAATCTGTGAGAGTTTTATAAAATGATATCTGTTTTTATGCAAGTACTATGTTTTTGAAGGTAAGGAAGAACATGAATCCCAGATGTTTGTTAATTGTGCTATATAGCTTTTTTCTAGTGACCCTTTAGTATGAGTCAAGTCAGGAAGCGTGTACTGAGTGCCTGCTCTGTGCCAGGCACCTGTCACGTCTACGGAATGGACGAGGTGTTGGAAAAGGACGGTGCTTGGAGCGCCCCACGTCACCAGAGAATTTGCCAGGATTTGGGACGAGGACCTGCAGATGTTTAACTGGGAGTCGGGGGAGGAGAGCCTCTCAGGATGGGAGTTTCTGTTTTGGCTTCATTAAGGTCGTCCCAGATGAGTGACTCAATGAATGCAGAATGTAATTGGCGATGAGTAAACACTGAATTTGAGAGGAAGGAAGTGCTTTAATCATTGAGAGGATGGTGGATGATCCCCACAGAGAACAGCGTGTTGAAAGAATCGGGTGCAGCCAGACTGGTGGTGGTAGAGCTCCAGCCAAGCCCCCAAAGAGGGAAGTTCCATGGGGGGAGAGTTTCTCCCTCTCCTCCTCTCCCCTCGACCTTCCCTCCACAGCCATGTGAATTCAGGGGATCTTAAGGTCCCCTTAGACAACCTGCTGCCTGCCAGGGTCAGAAGCAGAGTCACCAGAGGGGTGGTAGTGGCTGGTGCGAGAGTGAACATCTGCAAACAGATGTGGAAGATTGTCACTAGAGGTCGGTGGCAGCTTCCAGGATCTGACCCCTCGTGATGGACCCTCCAAAGTCACCCAGCAAAGCTTGGGAAAAGGAGACAAGGACTGCAGTAGGCAGGAACTGTGAGGGCCCCCCTTGTGACAAGGCAGCCAGGAGGCGCCCTCGTGCATAAGGCACCAGGCCTGGAGTCACAAAGACCCGAGTTTAAATCTGACCTCACATGCTAGCCAGCTGTGTGACCCTGGGCAAGTCAGCTCTGTTTGTCTCAGTTATCTGTGAAGTGAAGATAATGGCACCCATCTCCCAAGGTTCTTACGGCTCCAATGAGATCATATTTGTAAAGCTCTACCGAAATTCTAGTGATGATGCTGATGTTACTTTGGGTCTGAGCCTGCTGTCCTCAGCTACCTCTTATGTGTAAAAGTAAAGTGGGTCTCTGGTTTGTGGGGAACATCTGATCCCAACTATTTCACTCTACCCATTTAATAAGTGGCCTTTGCTGAAAAGCTAATGGAGCCTGCTAGCTACTTATCAGTGGGAAACACACTTTGGGAAGGCTTGTGAAAGACAGCACTCAATACAGATCCTGACACCTCAGGGTAACCCCCAGTATCTCGAGGGGTATAGTAGTCAGCTGCTGTTGTACCAGTGTGAGCAGGAGTTGGAATGGCTCTGGAGGGTGTGTCATACTGTGACTGAAAGCAGGAAGTAAGAATCAGTGGTCAAAGAATCTTGGACATTTAGAGGAAGTAACTGGGAAAAATTCTGATATTTATATATTGAAATTCATTAACTTAAAATTACTAAACAAATTTTAGTTGTTTATATTGTTGTTCAACATGAGTTTCTCGTGGTTATTTAATTTTTAAAGAAAGTGGACTGGCCTTAGAGCCAACAGGCTTTTCTGATTATGGCAAAAGGAATAAGGAGGAAATATTTACATTTTTTTCTCTTCCTTTCAGTTTCAGAAATAAGGCCTCAAACCAGGGTGTCAGCTCCAGAGCTGAACCTTTCTGGGGCAGTATCCAATCAGAGATTACCAAAGGATAGTCCTCCTGTCCCCAAATCTGGAAAAGTCTGGGAAGGTGATCCTAGGGTAGAAAGAGAGAAGAGCGGTAAGCCGAAAAATCTCCATAAATGTGATAAACATAGGAAGAGCTTTAGACTGAATACAAACAGAAAAAACAGCCATCAGGTCTGCTCAAAGAAGGTCATCTACAAGTATCTCGAACAGGGAAAATGCTCTGATTATAATTCAAACCTCATTCAGCATCAGAGACTTAGTGCTGCAGTAAAGTCTTATAAATGTGATGAATGTGGAAAAGCCTTCCGGGGAAGCACAGGGCTTGCTGGACACCAGAGAATTCACAGAGGAGAGAAACCTTATGAGTGCATTGAATGTGGGAAGGCCTTCCGATGGAGCACCCAACTTACTGTCCACCAGAGAATTCACACTGGAGAAAAGCCATATGAATGTAATGAATGTGGAAAGGCCTTCTGTCGAAGTTCACAGCTTGCTGAACATCGTCGAATTCATACTGGAGAAAAACCTTATGGATGTAATGAATGTGGGAAGGCCTTCCGCCGAAGCACACAGCGCACTGTACATCAGAGAATTCATACTGGAAAGAAGCCTTACGAATGTAGTGGATGTGGGAAGTCCTTTCACCAGAGAAAGGGACTTACTCAGCATGAGATAATTCATACTCAAGATAAAGCTCACAAATGTAATGAATGTGGGAAGGGTTTTCGAAGGGGCTCACAGCTTTCTGAACATCAGAAAGTTCATACTGGAGAGAAACCTTATGGGTGTGATGAGTGTGGGAAAGCCTTTAGTCGGAGCACACAACTTGCTATACATCAGAGAATTCATACTGGAGAGAAACCTTATGAATGTAATGAATGTGGGAAGACCTTCTGCTGGAGCACACAGCTCACTGTACATCAGAGAATTCATACTAGAGAGAAACTTTTTGAATGTGATGAATGTGGGAAGACTTTCCACCAGAGTGCATTGCTTACTCGACATCAGATCATTCATACTGAAGAGAAATCTTATGAATGTTCTGCATGTGGGAAGTGCTTCCGCCGAAACATAGAACTTTCCCGACATCAGTCAGTTCATACTGGGGAAAAACCTTATGAATGCAATGAATGTGGGAAGGCTTTCCGTCTGAGCACAGGGCTACATCTACACCAGAGAATTCATACTGGAGAAAAACCTTATGAATGTAGTGAATGTGGGAAGGCCTTCCGCCGGAACACAGAACTTACTCGTCATCAGAGAGTTCATACTGGAGAGAAACGTTATGAATGCAGTGAATGTGGCAAGGCCTTCAGCCGAAGCACAGGACTTACTGAACATCTGACGATTCACACAGGAGAGAAACCTTATCAATGTAAGGAATGTGGGAGGGCCTTCCGTCTGAGCAAGCACCTCACTCAGCATTACAGAACTCACAATGGAGAGAAGGCTTATGAAGGGACAATCTAATAAATATAATCAGAGGGCATTCGGCTACAGTACACTTTCCTGGAAATTAGAGAATTCATGACACCCTGTGACTTGTTTGGGAATGGCTGACCATACTGGTATGTGCAGTGGAGAACTGTTGTGCACTGAGAAATGATGCGTGTGAGGAATTCAGAGAAACTTGAGAAGACTGGTATGAACTGATTTCAGAGTGACGTAGGCAGAACCAGAAGACTGGTACACACTGTGAATACCACGATGCAAATGGAACTACTGCAAGGAAGTTGAAATTCAAGTAACTGTAGTGACTGAGCTCGGTCCCAAAGAACAGATAATAAAACATGCCTTCCTTCTCTCGGCAGAACGGCGAAGGGCTACAGGCCAGAGTGCTGCGTGTGCTGTTTGATTCGATCACTGCACCTGTCGCTTTTTATAAAAGAGAGTTCAGTTCTGGGGTATATCTAGATATGACTGCTGGAAAAGCACATTCTACCATATTTCTTTCCAAAAATAAATCAGAAACTTAAAACATAAGGGGAATCACTATTAAGTTTCCCACAGTGGAAGTTCCAGCTCTCAAATCCCCAGCTTCCTTCCTCCAACTCTCACACTTATAGCTGATGATTTAAACTCTTAATTTACTAAGAGTGGCAACGATAAGTATTTTCTTTTTCAACTCCACTCATCAACTTAGAATTCTTACCTTGTATCTCTTCAGTCTTTTTCCTGTGACCCTAACTTTACCTCCTTCTGCTCGTTCCAAGGCCTTTCTCTTGCAAGCATCCTTTCCCTCTCCAGAAGCTAAAATCTGTCCCTTTCTGGATCTTTTCCAACTGCCTGCTCAGTTCCCCTCGATTAATAAACTCACATACACATAGGCACACAAAGCAACCTCACAAACCATATCAAACTTTCAAAAGAACCACCAACATGCAATAAAAGCAGGATACTTCATAGATGCTTGGGTGTCTGCTTGAAATTTTACTGTGGAATTGGGGCTGGAGCCTGGAGAGAATATAGGGAGATTGAAATGGGTAATTTAGGAAAAGTCTGGGCTAGATGGGATCTCAGTAAGACCATCACCCTTCCTCATGGTTGGAAGACTTTGTCAGTGATCCCCTTCTTCCTCTTTCCCTAGCTTCCTGCCTGAACCCGAGTTTCAGGCTGCCCCATTCTATGGTCCCAGTGCCTTCCCTCCAAGGCCCTCACCATGTAGAAGTGGTAGGGTCCCCATAAGCTGGGGGACCTTGTCAGAGAAGTAGATGCTTAGCCACTATTTGAGTTATCAATGGGGAGAAAAAGTTTCCTCAGAACATCTTCATTTCAGTTCTGTTGAAAATGTGCCATGCAACAAATAGAGGGAATCAAACACACTTCTGAGAGTTAGTTCCCTCCTCTTTGGATAAGTAGTCAAAAGATAGAAGCAGGTAAGTACAGATTAGCAATAACCCACCTGGAAAATTGTTCACTCTTCTTAAAATTAGAGAAATACAGATTAAGACAATGGGTGTCCCATTTCCTCAGATAGCTTGCCCCCACTCTCATCTTTATCCACTTTTATCTGTTGACTTCTTTCTCACTCTGCACAGATGCAGCCACATGTCACGTAGCTTTCACTTGTCCTCTCTACACCCACAGGCTCCAGACCTGGAGGTCTGCTCCCCTTAGCCAAACTTAAAGGAAAAGCCGTTCACACTTGGTGCCTCAGTGTCCTCATCTCCCATTTACCTTAAGCGGCCTCATGAGCCCATCACTTAACTGAACCTGTTCTCAAGGTTGCCAAGGGTTTACCCATTGTTATAATGCAATGGCCTCATTACAGAGGGCCTCATCCTTTCCTTTCTGCAGCTTTTGACATCTCTTCTTCCTGGACACTTCTCTATCTTGTGTCACTATACTTGCCTGACTTTCCTTCTACCTGCCTTCTCCTTTGCTCTATCATCTTTGTCCCATCTCCTGACTGTGTGTTCTTGAAGACTCCTGTCCTGGACCCTCTTCTCTATACCCTCTCTCAGTTTTTGTCACTGCCCATGTCTATGCCTAGCCCAATTCTCTTTCCAGTCACTCACGTATAGGCATCTCAAAAAAAACCAACCTTCATTCTCTTTCCCTTTAAGCCCTCCACTCCACATTTCCCTTTACAGTCATCCTTCTGGTTACCCAAGTTCTCAGAACCCTTGAGGTGTATTCATGGCCCCATCTTTCTCCCCCAGTCCTCTGCTCCCAGAGCCACTTAGTGGTCAAGGGTGCCTATTCTGCCTCCACCACCCCTCTTGCCTCCCCTTCTCAGCTACATCAGGTGCTCACCAGCTCCTGCTCATAGCACTGCTGCTGTTTTCTGCTTGGCCCCTGCTTCCAGACACCCTTCCAATCCATGTAGCTGCTATGACAACCTTCTAAAGCTGCAGTGTGACTATGTGCCTTCCCTCTTCAGGAGCTCCCTGCTGCCTCTAGGATAACATACAAATTCCTCAGCCTCGCATCTAAAGCGTGTCTGTCTGTCTCCTGCCTGGTTTTCCGGATTGATTTTACTTTAATCCTCTTCACTTACTGGGTTGTTTCAGCCCACTGGCCTATTGTTGCCTGAACTCCCACCTCTGTGCCTTTGACCAGACTGTCCCCCATGCCTGGGGTGCAGTCCCTGCTAACCTCTGCCTCTAAAAATACCTGTGCTCCTTAGAGGCCAAGCGTAGGTGTCATCTTCTATGCAAAGCTTCCTCGAGGTCACCTGTCACCAGGACTCGCCTCAAATTACTCGGCACTTATCATCTGTGCACGTGTTGTACCTGTTGAGTGGAGTGTAAGCTGTTGGAGGGCAGGGACCGTTTTCCATTTGGTCTTTGTGTCCTCGATGCTTCATACATTGGCACATGGTAGGTGCTTGATATTTGTCGAATTGAATTGAAAACTGTTCGTGTCCTTTGGCCCAGTGATCTGCGTTCTAAGACCTGACAACTCTGAAACTGTTATTGTTTGTGAATAAAAATATTTCTGATGAGAGTTCTGGGTAATATAAGCCACAAGATGGTGGACTAGACTTTTTTTTTTTTGGTGAGGCAATTGGGGTTAAGTGACTTGCCTGGGGTCACACAGCTAGTGAGTGTCAAGTGTCTGAGACCAGATTAGACATTTTTTCTGATTTCTGTGACCTCTCACATCCCCCCCCCTCAACAAATCATGTACAAAAGATACAGCAACTTCAGCTGTTTCCATGGTCCAGGAAACCAAGAACCTAAAATAATGTAAAGACAAAAGCCCAGGAACTCACTGGCCCTGAGCCCACTCAGGACCCCTCCCCAGCCTTTCACACTAATGGCAGCAAGGCTGCAGTAGCAGACCCAAAGACATGAGGCAGGCTTACATTAAAACTCACCCCTGCACCCTGGTCTTCTCTTCCTCTTTCTAGTGCCATAGAGACCCTGGCTTTAGGCTGTGGAAGTTTTCTCAGACCTTCACGGCTGGCTTGACAACAGCTCTTCAGGATCAAAAGCCTGTGAGGATGCCACAACCCAGAGACACCAATGCTGCAAGGCTCTGAACCAACAGTGCCTGTGCCAGCAGGCTCAGAATAAGTACATTGGTAGGGCTGTGAAATGGCATAGCCATATTGGAAACACTTTGGAACCATGCAAAATGACTAACACATCTATCTCTTTGAACTAGAAACTGTTACTGGACTCGTGCTCCAAGGAAATGAGTGAAAAGAAAAAAGTCCTCATGTACTCCAAATTATAGCAGTATTTTGTGATAACTAATATCTGGAAACAAATTAGACATCCAGCAATTGGGGAATGACCAAACAAATTGGGGCATGTGAATATCATGTAATGATACTACTGTAAGAAATTATGCATGTGGTAAATACAGAGAAGAATGGGGAAATCTATATGAGCCGAAGCAGAGTGAAGTCAGAAAATAAAAGAAAACAATATACACAGCAACTACAATAATGTAATTGGGAAGAATGACACATCAAACAATCCAAAGTAAATGTAACAAAGTCATAAAGATCAAGTCAGACTCCAATGAAGAGATGTGCAAAGAAACCCCAATCCACCCTGTGGTGGAGGTAGGAGGTCCACAGATATTACACATTGTACATGTTTTTGAACTTTCTCAATGTGTTAATCATTTATGCTGATTTTTTTATCCTAAGAGAAAAAACACTATTTGTCATATGGGATGGCTCTTGGGGAAGGAGAGTGGGAGCCGAAAGGGTACATGGGATAGGATAGTGATGTAAGAAACAAAAAACATCAATAACGTTATTTTAAATTGTTAAAAAAAAAAAAACCTCCAGTGAGAGAACCAGACAAGATGGTAGAGGAGAAGACAATACAGTCCAACTCTCCCCTATAACTACTCTACAAATTCCTAAAAAGTACACCAGACTGATTCCTGATTAGGAATCCAGGGTTTCAGTCTCAGTCCACAGGCTAGTCTGAAACCTGCAGTGAAATAATTGGGGGGGGGGTGCCTCAGACTAAAGTAGAGCCTGTAGGTTCGTTCTGAACTTGCACAGCCTTCCAGCTAGCTGATGGTGGTTGGATCCAGCAACAATCTACTGGAGATCCAAGTGGGGGCAAGCCCACAGTTGCATCATTCAGACTCACACCTGGGTCAGGAGCTTGTAAAGTTCAGACTAGGAACACAGCAATCAGACTTCAGTCCAGCTCAGACCACTTTGGGCGTACTGAAAGTTTGTAGGTCTCCAGCCTGAGCCGCTTCTGCATTCAAGAACAACACGGTGCTTAACACCCAGAGAAAGCAGTGGCAAGACCTAAAAGAATGCAAAACAGCCAGTTGAGACCCAGATATTCCCTCCAAAGCATGCAGAGTATGGCCCTAACACAAAGTTCAAGTTTGGAAAATGAGGAAAATAAAGTAAGTAAATACACAAAAAACAATCTCACCATGGGAGAAGCTAGGTGGTACAGTGGATGGAGTGCTGGGTCTAGAGTCACTAAAATCTGAGTTCAAATTCTGCCTCAGACACTTGCTAGCTGTGTAACCTTTGGCATGTCACTTAGACTCTGCCTCAGTTTCCTCATCTGTAAAATGGGGGTAATAGCACTTCTCAGGCTTGTGAGAATAAAATGGGACTTTGAAAACTTCAAAGTGCTATATCAATGTTCTAGCCATTACAAAGAGCTTTTGTAGTGATAGGGATACCCAAGACACAAGCTCAGAAGAGGCAAATGACCCTAAAACATCTTCAAGCAAAATCTCAAAGAAAATTAGTTTGGACACAAGTCCAATTAGAATTTCCAGGAAAAAAAATAAAGCAAGAGGTTTTTTTTTTCATGGTTTTGTAAATGAAATGAGCATGCCAGCAGAAGGAATTGGAAAAAAATTAAAGTTATGGAGGAAACACTTGGAAAGAGAATTACCAGCTTAGCATAAGAGGTACAAAACATTACACAAAGACCAAGCCCTTTAAAAATGAGAATGGACCAAATAGAAGTTAATGTTTTCATGAGACAAGAAATATTCAAACAGAGAGGCCAAGCCAAGACAGTGAAGTAGCAGGAAGGACAGTTGTGTTCTTCAATACAATTTCTCCACAAAGATCTAGAAAACACCAGACCAAGTCCTCATTAGGAAATCCAAGAAAAAAAAAAAGCATATTTCCACCTCAGATCAGCCTAGACAGAGAGGTCTGTAGACACTGGGGTTGTAGCCTTGTTACAGTCATGCTGTGGGGAGTATTCTAGCACCCAGGAACCGAAAAAGGATGTAGGCTATGCAACAAAATCAGGGGTGGGGAACCTGTGGCCTCGTGGCCACATGTGGCCTTCTAGGTCCTTGGGTGTGGCCTTTTGACTGACAAATCCTTGTATTAAGGGGATTTGTTCTGTGAAGTTTGGATTCAGTGGAAGGGCCACACTTGAGGACCTAGAGGGCCACACGCAGCCTTGAGGCTGTAGGTTCCCCACTCTTGCCCAGATGTTAGTGCACAA